GCCCCTCTCCCCATCATGCCATCTCCTGAATCTCATTCACTCACACCCTGCCTTCCGTTCTCCATCATCATATCCCGTTTGCCACATAAGGGGGACCTCCGTGAAGCAGCAACAAATGTCAAGTAACTCCCACCCCCAGGGGAAACCACTAGAGAAGAACCATTCCTTTACTTGGAAAGCAGATTTCACAGAGCGGCGTTTCCCACCAGGGGCGGGTTCCCCTTATCCAGACCACTGGAGAGGAGAGACTGCGTTTCCTTCCACCTCCGCTTCAACTCAGAAAAACCCAGTGGGGACCCAGGCCCTGAAATAGCATGTGCCGCTCCCCACGACAGATGCTGGGCCGAAAAGGGAGACCCTCAGGGGCCCGGCCTCGAAGAAGGGAAAGCGCCCAGGGGAAGCCCAGTCAGTCAGGCCGCAGTCAGCCGAGACGTGGCAGGGTCGGGACCCCGCGACCTCCCCGTTAGGCTCTGTCCCCTAGTGCAGAAGAGGCCTCTCCCGCCCCAGCACCCGACTTCCCCGAGACACGGTCCAGGCGAGCCAGACGCCAGCGTCACCGCCGCTTCCCCTCCTAGCCGCGCGCACCCGCACACCCCCGGCGCGCCCTCTCACCGATCCGCCGTGCGGTCTCCGAGGCGCACACTTCCGGCGGCGGGCGCCGTGACGTCACCAACGCGCGTCGGTCGGCGGGGAATGGGAAGTCGCAGCAGGGCGTGGGCGGGGCCGGGCCGGCTCGCTCCGCCCTTCCCGCCTCCCCGCGGGCGCTCACCTGCTGGAGCGCGGCTTCCCGGCACCTCTGGGCAGCCGGGCGTTTCTCCTGCGGGGACCCGAGGGACCAGAGTCTGTACATCTATTTTAATTACATCTCACCGCACCTCTGTCTGCCCCGAGGTGGTTAGACGCGCATCTGCATTGCATACCTGTGTAACCTTGAACAAGTGACACAGTCTTCCTTTGTAAAATGAGACTATCTCGGGGGTTGCCAGACTTAAAGGTCATGTTATTCCCTAGTAAAGAGGAAGTGCCCAGTAAATGTTACCTTGTTATATTCTCGCCTGCTCCCTGGTTCGTGCTTGACTCGTTAATACTCTATACACTAATCTCCGTTTGACAGAGCACAATTTTTAGAATACTGAGAATCAGAGGCACAAAGACAAGACCTACGCAGAGAGTTCTAGAGACTCTCATTCTGAATTAAAACCCTCTGGTCTGTAGAAATTACTGTGTGGGTGTGTATGTGTATGTATGTATGTATACACACATACATACATATATATAATTTTCTTTTTTGCCGCCTGGTTTTTGTAACCATTGGCCTCCATGGTCATGAGGCTTTTGCAGCGGCAAAGTGAAGAACTTGTATTTGACTCGGTGTTTTCGTTTTTTCAAGAGCAGAGTGAAGAAAGTGGCAAAGGAGTGGGAAGGACAGCCCTAAATTCTTAAAAGGGGAACTTCCAATAAATTTTCCAATGTCTTAAAAAAATAAAATCTGTACCATATGTCTGTTTTAATTTTTAAATTTTTAATGTTTAATTTTCATTTCCCTAAACTTTTTCTAGAAAAATTAATGTACTGTGGTATTTCTGTGGCTTCCATCCATGGGCCAGCCTGTCTTCAGAGGTGTAAGGGTCCCATTTTGAAAAGCATAGGACTAGCCTTCCAAGCTGCCATTCAGAGACAAAGCACTGATTCAATCCAGTGCCTTAACAGAGCAATGAAAATACACACACACACACACACACACACACACACACACACACCCTCCTAGCTAGGCTGACCAAGAGAAAAATGTAAAGAGCCTATCACTAAAGACACAGGGGCATTACCAGGATAGTAGGAGACACTGTGGACAATTTTATGCCAACCGATGTGACATTGTAGATGAAATGGACAATTATTTGAAAAATACAACTTATCAATACTGAAACAGGATAAAAAGTTAAAATATGAATAACCTTTTACTATTAAATAACTTGAACTTTGTTCAACAAACTTCCCACAAAGATAATTCCAAGTTCAGATGGTTTCAATGGTCAAATTTTTCAACCACTTAAGGAAGAAATAACTCCAACCTTGCATAATTTTTGTTCCAAAAACAGAGGAGGGAACACTCTTTTCTCTCATTTGAGGCCAGCATAGCACTGATAACAAACCTGAAGTAGGTCTTGTTGAAAAAGAATTTACAGATCAATAGCCACAAGAACACGGAAACAAATATCTTAAAAAAAAAATTAGCAAATTGAATCTAGCAAGTTAGAGCAAGTTGGGTTTATTCCAGGAATGTAAGGTGAATTTAACATTTGAAAACCAATCAGTATTATTCACTGTATTTACAGGCTAAAGAAGAAAAACTGTATGGTCATCCCAATCGTTGTAGGAGAAACACTTAAATTTAACACACATTCATGATAAAAACTCTGAAAATAATGAAGACATCCACATTCTGACAAGGGCATCTATAGAAACTGTACAGCTAATATCATACCTAGTGCTGTGTGCCACTTTTCCCCTAATATAGGATGCCCAGCCTTATTACTTCTTTTGGACATTCTACCATAGTTCAAGCCATTAATATAAGGCAAAGGAAAGAAGGGTGGATATAGCTCAGTGATAAGAGTACATGTACGAGGTCATGGGTTCAAACCCCACTACCTCCACTGAAGAGGAAAAAAAAAAAAGGACAGAAAAAAACCTTAAAACATAAGGCAAGGAAAAGAAATAAAGAAATAAAAGGAATAAAGGAAATAAGGAAAAGAAAAGAAATAAAAGATGTAATAATTAAGAAGGAAGCAAAACTGTCTGTTTTCAGATGATACAATAGCATACATAATAGAAATCAAAGGCATAAAAAAGAAATCACAGAAATTGGCAAAGCCATCAGAACTATTAAGTGAATTTAGCAAGGCCTTAGGATTCAAGGTTCATAAATTAAAATTATTTGCATTTTTATACAGTAGCTGCAGAAAGTTATAAATTCTGATTTTTAATAGGAGCTAAAGTATATATATATATATATATATATATATAAAATAGATATATAGTATAATGTAGGAATAGATGTAACAAAATAAGTTATAGGGTTGGCAACCAAGTATATGTAAACTAACATCATCAGTCATTAGGGAAATGCAAATTAAAATCACTGTGAGAAACCATTACATACCCATAGAATATCTTAATCAGAAAACCTGACAACATCAAGTGCTGGTGAGGATGCAAATCAACTGAAAATCTCATACACTGCTGGTGAGAATGCAAACTGCTACAGCCATTTTGGAAAACAGTTTGTTGACAGTTTCTGATAGATGCAGAGAAACTTACCATACAACCCAGCAATCCTACTCCTAGATCTTTACCTGAGAGAAATGCAAACTTCTTTTTATACTAAAAAAAATGTATGTGAATAGTTATCATAGCTTTGCTGATAATCATTCAGATTTGGAAATAAGCCAACTTTTCTCTAACAAATGAATGGGTAAGTTAAGTGTGGTGTTTCCATACAAAGAAATATTACTCAGCAACATTAAAGAGTTAACTGCTGATACAATGTATCTGAAACTCAAGAAAGCCAGACTTCTCACACTATATGCAAAAATAAACTCAAAATGGTTTAAAGATCTAAACCAAAGACAGGACATCATAAATTTCCTAAAAGAAAACATAGGCAAAACATTCTCTGACATCAATCGTAGCAATGTTCTCTTATGTCAGTCTATCAAGGCAATAGAAATAAAACCAAAAATAAACAAATGGGACTTAATTAAACTTACAAGCTTTTGCATAACAAAGGAAATCACAAACAAAACGAAAGAATAACCTACAGAATGGGAGGCAATATTTGCAAACAATGCAACTGACAAGGGCTTAATATCCAGAATATACAAACAGGTCATAAAACTTACTAACAGAAAACAAAAACAACCCAATCAAGAAATGGACAGAATATTTAAACAGACATTTCTCCAATGAAGATACACAAATTACCTGTACGCACAAGAAAAGCTGCTTAATATCGCTAATTATCAGAGAAATGCAAATCAAAACTACTATGAGGTATCACCTCACACCAGTCAGAATGGCCATCATTAAAAAGCCCACAAACAATAAGCACTGAAAAGGGTGTGGAGAAAAGGAAACCCTTCTACACTGTTGGGGGAATGTAGTTTGATGCAGCCATTATGGAAAACAGTATGCAGAGTCCCTAAAAAACTGAAAATAGACTTACCCTATGTTCCAGCAATCCCATTCCTTAGCATGTATCCAGAGGGAAAATTAATTCAAAAAAATACATCCACCCCAATATTCATAGCAGCACTATTTAGCCAAGACACAGAAGCAACCTAAATGTCCATCGACAGATGACTGGATAAAGAAGTTGCAGTGTGTGTATAT